GCTTTTACTTTTATGGAAATAGAGATATCAGAGTCCATCAAACAGTCCAAGTCATACACAGATAAGACAGTTATCAATGTCTTTCAGTTAATGGATAATCCAAATAAAATAGTGCAGTATCATATAATCAGTTCAGTACTCAAAATTTTGCAGTTGCAAAACTTACAATAGCTCATGGCACTTCCAGCTTCCCAAAACACTCAAATCAATCTAACAAAGCAGAGAACTAACAGTCATTCTTGATCCCTCTTATGGCCAATTGAGGAAAACAGCAACCAATCACATTTTACAGTATGTTTAAAGAAACAAGTACAACATTGTTATATGATTTATATATTGCCAACCCAACCGTTAGAATTATATTCCTAACATATATTGCTTCCTTACTTCATTGTATGGTAACATCTTTGCTAAGTTTAATGGTACTATTTGTTTTTTAATATTTTGACATTTTGTATTGTTATATTTATCTTTTTGTAATTTACCTATAGTTGCTTGATGATGAGATGGAGGCATATAAATTTAATAATAAATAAAAATAAAGTGACGTACTGAAGAAACTGGATTATTTTCTCCAAATCCCTGTTTTTTAAAGCTTCATTTATTTCCCTAACTTTGGGGTTCCATCGTTATTTCAGGCTGGTAGGCTTTCTCTCAAATTTCTATTTTTCTAAATCTGCTTATTCTTTTCATGTTGCTTTAGGTTGTTAGGAATAAATAAATTGCTGAGAGTTTGCTAAGGGCACAAAATTACTGCTATTGCATATATTGTTTATATTCTTCTATCCAGAATCAGGAAATCCTAAATTTATTTCTCTAATCCCAGAAAACAAGATTGGAATCCCATAGCTTTATGTTCCCAGTGATGGTTTGAGGACCAAATAGAAATAAAAACACCCATCATAAAAATGCATCACTCTTACCCGGGTATGGTCCACTGATGTAACAAACACTTGATACCTATTGTCACACCAACATCACATAACATATGCTACCCATTGAATTACAAATTGTAGAAAGTGTCAAGTCAGCCACCCTCAGCAACCAAGAAAGAAACCACTTAACTCCATTTCATAGAATTAAGAGTACTTTTACTGGTTATGAAAAGATAGCAGCTAAGCAAAGCAAGATCTGAGGCAAAAGCCTGTGAAATCATACATATCAATATGTGACCCAACCCCCTCCATCTGGTAACCCCATTCCTAGTCCAATCTGCAAATCCCTCAGGTGTCATGTGAGTTCCATCTTCAAAAAACATCGTCAAGTTGGTGTACAGGACAGTTGGCCTTGGCAGGCCCATCCACTATCTCCAGCATGCGCAATAGATGGTGAGAACAAAAACCCCTTTTTACAATCTCTCCTGTACTTAAAACTTCCCTTCCCAAATACCATCCCCCCTCCCCATTTCAATGGAAGCCGAAAGCAAGTAGAGAAACAGAGGCTGATAGTAAGTCACTCATAAGCTTTATTCAATGTCATCTTCTTATTAGGTATTGTTTATTGTTCAGCTCAGGCCTCATAATAATTATATAACATTTGGGAGAAAAGATGCAAACTAGAAGCCCAGCACCAGATGTTAAGATAGAAAAGATCTCCACAGCAATCATGTATTTTCCTTTGGTGCTTAGATAGGTTGGAACAAAAGAGATCCAAACACTGCAAAAGACCAACATGGTGAAACTGATAAATTTGGCTTCATTGAAACTGTCAGGTAATTTCCTGGCCAAAAATGCCACTATGAAACTCACAATGGATAGAAAGCCCATATAACCCAGAACGCAATAAAACATAATCACTGACCCTTCGTTGCATTCTAATACAATTTCTTCAGTTACCAAATGCAAATCCTCATCTGGGAAGGGTGGAGTAGTCCCCAACCAAAAGGTACAAATACCAGTTTGAACAAATGAACAAGAAAAAGCAATGGCGATAGCTAGTCTTTTCCCTAACCATTCATTCATTCTGGATCCTGGCTTGATAAGCATGAAAGCTAAAATGACTGTGATGGTTTTTGCAAGGACACAACAGATAGCTGCTGAAAACACAATGCTAAACACAGTTTGGCGGAGAAGACAAGTCACTTTATTAGGCTGACCAATGAAGAGCAATGCAGAAAGGAAACAGAGCAGAAGGGAGATGAGAAGGCTGTAGGTCAGGTCCCGGTTGTTGGCTTTAACAATGGGAGTGGCATGGTGCTTTATAAATGTTCCCAGCACCAAAACTGTGATTAATGAAAAGAAAAGTGTTGCAGTGCATAAGCAGATACCCAGTGGCTCTTTATAAGACAAAAAAGTTACAGTTTTGGGAATACAAAAATCACGTTTTTTGTTCGGATATGTTTTGTCTGTGCATTTATAACAGTCGTTCATATCTGAAAAAATGGAAAAGAAATATAATTTAAATCTCATGGCTCTGTTTTAAAATCAGCATTTGTTTGTTTGTTTGTGTAATTAGTTAGTTAGTTAGTTAGTTAGTTAGTTAGTTAGTTAGTTAGTTATTTAGTTAGTTATAGCTGCACTTCTCACACACTTACAAGTTCAAAACAAGGAATCCCACCAGCTCCCAGTGCCCAAGGAAAACATAGACTCCATTCACTGCGAGCAATAGCAGAGCTCAACCAACCCCTGAACCAAACACCTGGGAAAACAGCTAGATCTTCAGTGTCTTGTAAAAAATTAACAGAGTTTAGGCCGCCTGAACCTCTGGAAGTAATGCTGTTCTATGGGACAGGTGATACCACTAAGAAGGCATGACTCCAACAAAATTACATTAGTAGAAAAGACCTGGAACATGGTCTATCTACTCTATCTAATGGGAAAGGTAGAAACAATGAAGAGATGTGGTCTGGTCCTATGCCATGGAAGGCTTTATATATGATGACAAGCACATTACATATAAAGTGAATTGTATTTGGTAACCTAAATCAGACAAGTAATGATTTCAGTAAAAGAGAAACAAATGATATTATAATCAATATATGTTTTCGTAGATTTTCATGGGTGTAGGTATGCTGGTCTTGTATCGGGTCTTTTCCTGAGGTTAATCTCTAAAACTGAACACTTTAACAAGAGAATAATTATGGAAGCTATCAAAATAGAGAAATACTCCCACAACATAACCCAGCCGTTGCAGCACAAAACAACAACTGACACACAACCAGCGCCAATCAGCACCAATCCACCAATCATGATACAACCACACAACCAATCATTCCACTCACTGAAACAATGCCAACACTCCACACCGCTCCCCAAGTTTTATAGAAAGACGGCAGCTCCAACCATGCTTTAAGACCAAAACCCAGCCTGAAGATGGCAAGTGAGACCTCACTGAAATTTTGCCGTGACAATCTCAATCTCAACACCCGAATACAACAAGACCAGCATACCTACACCCATGAAAATCTATGAAAAAAATATCTACCTCTACTTACCACTACCTCCATATATAGAAAGGCTGGAGTTTTCGGCTTAAAGTGTGGTTTGAGCTGCCGTCTTTCTATAAATCTTGGTGGGAGTGTGTGGAGTGCTGGCATTGTTTCAGTAAGTAGATTGATTGGCTGTGTGGCTGTATCATGATTGGTAGATTGGTGCTGATTGGTGATGGCTGTGTGTCCATTGTTTTGTGTTTTAGCGGCTGGGTGGTGGGTGGGGCTTGTTTGTTTACCAGGGCTGGTTTCCAGATGTCTCGTAGGTGGGCTGTCACTCTGGCTTAGATATGTTGATGACACTTTTGTGATTTGGCCACACAGGAAAGAAAAATTGGACAACTTCCTCACAAATCTCCTAATCTACAAAAAATCCAATGGTTCCCTAGGACACACCACCTACTGGAAAAAACACACACACCTACTGCTATTTAAATGCACAATCCCAAAACCACCCTGCACAGATCAACTCAGTAGCCAAGACCCTCATCTCCAGAACCAAA